GTCTGAGGATTGCAGTATTCTTGTTCAAAGTGATGATTAGCAGCTGCTTCAATTAAGGTGGGGAAAAAAAAAAATTACACCATCACTACTTCCTTCCTCTGCTATGGTAACAGCCTTTGCTTCAAAGACACTGGGCTGCTCTAGGACAGGCTCTAAGGTTTACAGGAAACCTAAAAAGCATATCCGTGCAGCGAAACTATGCTCAAAAATGCTGGTTCAAACCACCAGTTTAATAAATCAAATCAATTTTAAATCTCAAAGGTATCAGTACTGAGCTTTCTAGTACCACTAGCTTTTTTTTTTTTGGGGGGGGGGCAGGGGGGTGGGGGGGAGAAGCAAAGGCCTTACTTTCAGTAGCTATTAAAATGGCTATCAGTTTAAGTGCTTATTATAGCTACAATATCCTCTCCAGGTGCACAGAAAAAGCAGTTCAAGTGGTAAGAATCATGAGTGAAACCAGAATGAGAACAATCTGTAATAACCTGGGTATCTTAAGGAAAACAGTGTCTTATCAAAAAAAAAAAAAAAAAAAAACCAACACACTTCAATCTACATTTGGGATCAACTCCTAGGAAAAAAAAAATTGAAAACCTCATACAGGAATAATCAATACTAAGTCTACATTGGATGTCTCAGACAACAAACTCACAAGAACACACACATTGACTGAAAGTAATGCAGCACTGAACAGAAATACTGCTATGTCATCACTATGCTTAGTCTTTAATGTGCTACCCTTTAAAGGCCAGATGTCTGAAAACAGGATATATAGCCACAAACCAGTGGGATGGGCTGCACATCTCTGGTGTGCTAACCTCAACCTTTCTATAGCCCTGACGAAGGTATGTGAAATCTCAGTCCTTTTCCAGGCATTATTTCAAGTACTGTATACTTACACTATGAACTGTTTTGGACTTCTCGGCTAGAAACCTTAGAGCTGAGTTTTAAAGAGGTGAGAAACCTTTTCCTTGCTTGTCCAAAACATTTTTTTTTTTAATTTCTTTTTGCCTTTTTTTAAATTTATTAATTAGCATTATTGGAACTTCATATTAATTTTGTATTACTTTTGTCATCCTCATTTAACTGCTTGCTTTTCAGACTTGCAACATGCATTATGTACTAAGGGTCCTCTTGCAGTCACCCCATTTTCCAGTGTGAAAGTGTAACAAGCTGTTTTCAGACTACCACAAATTTATTTTTTAAATCCAAGTTTGTTTGGCAGTTACTTTTTACTACTATCCAGTATTTAGACAGGGTATTACAAAGTAAGTTACTTCAGTTTGTAAAACAAAGTCCTGTCGCCTTAAACATTAGTAACCCAATGCTCCTGCTTACCTCCCATAAGCTATTTCTGTCCAAATAGAATGCAAGACATGCAACAGAACTGAAAACAAGAACAGTTGTACAAAGACCTGGAAGAGCTCTTACTTGGGATACAACATCGCAGTTTCTTCCCTATCACTCCAATTCAAGTTTGTTTTTTTTCCTATACTGTGCCATTGCAACAAGTGGCTGAGAACAACAAAAACTACGTAGTCATACTGTTATATGTGAAATTAGCTCCTACAAAGTTGATTTTTGTTTCAGGAATTCCTGTGGTAATGCAGAATCTATACCTTTTTCACCTTGTCTCGCTACTTCATGAGTACTAAACATGTGACTTGAAAAGCACTGACCTTCACTCAGCCTAGAGTATTCTGTACAACAAAAGTTACCAAGAGGAAGGAATTAGTTTTATTCAGACATCAAGCTACTGCCACTTGCATTCCCTATTATGGCTGCAGATTTTGCTCTATAGCATCTCTGGCCACCCTACAAACCTGTCTATACTGAACAGCTTGCAACATCTCCAAGACATGACAAAGGCTGCTAAAGCACTCAGCTACATGCACCACAGTAGTACCACTGGATCAGTAGGTGCATCAAGGCAGCAGAAGACCAGCCACTGAAAGGTCTAACTTCCAGAAATTTCTGTAGAGTTTCAGACTTCAGCAGGTACAGACACTCTCCCCTCCCCATTGAGATACAAGACAAGAAGTGAGCTGCATTGCACTTTAATTGCACCAATACAGTTAAATATTAAAATGGAGAAAGCAACTCTACATAGCAAATGGAAAACAAGCATTTACACAGTAAGTCCGTAAGATGTACAGACTCTAATTTTAACCCAGCTGTCTATACATGAAGAGACCATTAAAGCTTTCAGCATTAAAGAAAATGAATTTTGATTTTTAGGTTCAGCCAAATTGCCAAGTTACTGAGAAAACAACTTCTCTCATAAGCCAACACTGGGTGAGGGGGGCAACAGACACAGGGGCAACACCCTAGTTGTTGTTTTTTTTTTTTTTCTTCATATGAGTAGAAATACATTGGCTATCACCCCACCTACCAGCATTCTTAGGTAGAAATGATAATTTTTCTGTATACACTTGATTTCCCACACATACCCCTCAAAGGGCATATCCTGTTACCCTGCCAAAAGTTAATCAGGGAGAATTAACACTGAGTTAGACACTGATCAGCTGGGGAAATAGTTCATTTGCAAAGCTATCCTCCCAGGCATGGTCAGCATCAAGTGGAGAGGACATGTCACTGAAAGGTGACAGGGATCCTTCATATCCTGAGTCACTACCAGCATCCAACAGATTGCTTGAGGCTGCAAGGCTACAAGGAGAGGGAAGCAGATGAGAGATGCCCAGTTCTGGCATGAAGCTGTCTACGGGTTCCTCTTTCACAGACACTGGGATCTCAGCAAAAGCTTTGTCTTCAGATGGAGAGAGAGATACTTCCTCAATTTTCACTAGCATATTGGTTTGGTTGCCCATTTTAACAGGAATCTCCAATATTAAGGGCTTTGTGTATACATGATCAAACCTTATGAGTTCATTAATGGCCTCCAGCTTAGCTGATGGGGACCCCAAAGAGGGAGAGGGGGGGGTCGGTATGGAATTTGTTTCTCCACAGATCTCTTCCTCCAGCTTTTCCAGGCATGCTGATTCTGAATCAGCACATTTGAGAAACATCTCTGGGTCCAGACTGTCCAGAAAGCCCAACAGGAGATCAGACTGCAGAATAAAACACTGGTTTAGAAAGACAGCCTACAACTATTACAGGAAAACATCTGTTGCAACATCGGTCCACCCTCACCTGGAAGTTAAAATATGCTAACATCACAGAATTAGGAGTTTTACCAAGCACACCACTTATCAGAACAGAAAATTACTTATTGTTCAGAACTTCTGTCCATTAGTTCTCTTGTAAGGGTACTAGAGATTTGTCAAACTCTGGATTAGATGCTCAATCTCTACTAGAAGCTCGTCAAAATCTTGGACCTATTGTATAAAAACACCATAGAATCCGCCAAGTCTACAGAGCAAGTACCAGAACCAGATGCAGGCAGATATGCCCGTGACTAAAAGCTGTGTAACCTTCCTGTCTTTAAATTTCTAAAAGAGACTCACATTAGACAGTCTTTAAGTTCCAACAACCTTGTTAAATATCAGACATAAAGAAAATAATTATTTGTTTTCAACAACAGTAAAAGCACAGTATGCAGTTTGTATTTGCATGCTTTGCTGTAAGAACTAAGGCTATTCTGTGCAATATTATCTCACATTACAAAAGCCAGACTTGTTCAAGTTGCATTAACTTGTCTTGTACTCACAGGATCCCTAGCTGTCTTGAGCTGCAGGTATAATATTCCAAAGCTTAAAAAACAAGCTAACTGTGGAAAGTCATTAAGAAACTTTACATCAAGAAGTTCTCAACTGAGTCTTAAATCCACGGTGGTTCTGAATTTCATGGGCATTTAGGACAGAAGCAGATGCTTACCTCAGAATCTGAAGAGTCACTGCCATCAGAATCCATGTGGATTTTGTCAGAAATGGTGACTGCTGGGCCTGCACCTGCTGCAGAGGAACACGTAGTCTGAGTGCTGCGGACTCAGCGGACCCGGTCACCAACCCGATCTCATCCACTTGTGATTCCATCACGACCTGGACCAAAGAAAAAGCTTTGTCAGTCATCACATATGTTCTGGCAGACCATACAGCATCCTGAAGACCATGCTCTCTCTGCAAAGGCTTCCCCCATTAGTCTCTCCTTGCTTATACAGTAACAGCCTGAAGAGATGAGGCCGCTTGCAAAAGTGACACAAACTTCTATACCTCTGCAAATCCACCTTGTTCACCACTTTTAATAGAGAGCTCAGCCTCTCACTATCTCCCCTGTTCTTCTGAGACAGCCACACATGACTAAAAATTCTTATTTCGCTTCCACAGCGTAGTATAGAAATGCAGATGACATAAAACAGCTTGGGACTAACGAGCTCACTATCTCCCACACTACCAATGGTGCTCACTTAAGACTCGACAACCACTCAACCTGTGGGAAAGCCTCCTCTCGGAAGACAAGAGTATTTCTGACACACAAAGCATGCTCTCTTCAGAGCATACCTGTTTCAGCCTGGAGACTCTCAACACTGGGATTATTGCTCCCTGGCACTACCACACAGTTGCCTCCTAGAGCACAGCGACTCTTAACAGGCTCTGCCAAGAAACAGCACAAGACAGCCACCAAGAACACCGCAGCGCTCACCTTAGGCTCGCTTTCTTTCTCTGTTTTCAGAACATCCAAACCCAAGCGGCAGCGGAGCTCCTGGTTCTCCAGGGAAAGGCTGCACGTCTTCTCCCGCAGGAGCTGGTTCTCCAGCAGCAGCTTCTGGTTCTGCAGAGAGCCGCGCAGGCAGGGGGGTCGCAGCAGGTGCCGCCGCAGCCACCCTCCCGCGGGGCCACCGAGCTCCTTACCTCCTCCTCCAGCTCCACCACCTGCTGCTCCAGCTCCGTCATCCGCGCTTTCTTCCTGTCCCGGGCGCTCTGGGCCGCCACGCGGTTTTTCAGCTTCCTGCGGGGCAGCGCGGCCGTCAGCACCAGCGGCCGCCCCGCCGCGCCGCGCCGCCGGCCCCCCACTCACCTGCGCAGCGCCTTCTCCTCCGGGCTCAGATGGGTGAGCCGCTGCCGCTTGCGGGCCGGCTGCGGAGCCCCCGGGGGGCTAGGGGCCGCTCCTGCCGGCAGGACGACGGAAAGGCGCCGGCCGGCGGCGGGCTCGGCCGCCTCGCCGGGGATGAGGAGCAGGCGCGGGGCCGCGGTCCCGGGGAGCGCTGCCATGGCCGGCGCGGAGAGAACGGCCCGGGCCCGGCGCGCGCACGGCGCTCTGCGGGCGCCGCCGCCCCGCCCGGCTTTCTGCCGTCGTGGCTCTTTCTCGTTGGCCGGGGCGGCGTGACGACAGGCCCGGGGCCGCCCGCGGCTGGAGGCAAGGCCGGGCGGCGATTGCATCAGACGCGGGGGGGCCGGCGAGCGGCGGAGGGGCGAGGCCGCGGGGCGCCCTCGCAGGCGCCGGCTGCTGGGTCTGGTTGCGGCGCAGCGGGTGTGGGGGGCGCTCAGCCTGAGCAGCGGCCGGGGCACAGGGACCGAGTAGGGGCAAAGCGGCAGCACAATAAAACTTGCATTTCTGACATGCCGGGTACCATCTGTCCCAAATCTCAACAGAAAGCAGGGAAAGGGCCAGCATTTGTGGGAACGCAACTGCTGGGAATGGAGCTATGCTGGATGCTGTGCAAAGGGTATGAAAACAGAAGAGGTTTGTGACAGACAAGAAGAAGCTGCTAGAGAGCCTGCAGCAGTGCTCCAGGTGTTCTATTTTGAATTGAATGTGCTTATAAGCAGTAGCAATATTATAAGTGAAAAGTACCCTTCTCATATTATCTAATGGAGAACGCTGACAAAATGTAATGGGTTGACATTAAATCCAAGCTGTTTCAGACCCAGACAACTAGGCGTTTTGCAGCTAGAAAGCCTTGCAATGTCATGCATGTACAAATTCAGCTGTTCGGCAATGTGCAGGCAGTAATAGGCAGCTTCCTAGGGCACTCTGTTGTGAAATGTCAGCCATACCTCAGTGCCCTAAGCTTCCCGGGGTTTGCTCACAGGCAGTTAGTTGCCTGTTACCCAAGTGGTTGTGAAATGTTAAAATTTTGGTTCCTTGAGTTTATTTCTGAAATCCACTCACACAGCGAGTTTAAAATAGATAAGATGTTAAACATTAAAGGAAAAACATTAGCTTTAAAAGTTCAAAGGCACTGCACAACTGGTGTGCTTGTCTGGAATTATTCCAGTATTGGAGTACTGCCAGGCTGTCACGATAACAAAGAACAAACTCTGCATTTGCAAGTTTTTGTTTGTTCTTACTCACTGCAGCATGACATTTAGCTAAGTCTAATAGTTCATGTTTCTACTGTGACGCTTTTGTGAAAATTGTGGCGACTTTTGATAAACCTTTTATTCTGAGTGCGAAAAAATTTGTTTGTTCTGGTCCTGCTTGGCCCCTCAGATACCTATAGTTTAACTGCTTCTCCTTTGTATGTCTCTTTGGGGTTTGTAATCATATTTATTCTCTAATTATATTCAAAATTTAAAGTTTTACTGTTTTCTAATGAAATACAGACCAATATTAATATATTTTTCTAATATGAGACATTTGTGTCAAATAAGTTGCACATTTTTACAGCAAATGAAAGTGTTGAACACTTAAAGCAGACAGGCTGCCCCTGCTTCTGCTGCTTTCTGATATTTGTAGCTATACTTCTAAAACTGGCCATGATGTGATTTATCATATAGATACCCAGATTTCTTAGCATTATGGCTGAAGAAAACCCCTAATTTTGTATCTGGATGTGACTTAATTTTTCTAATTTTAAAAAGAACCAGAGTAAAAGCATCGTTTTCCTTCTACAACCAACAGTTATGATCATGAGTAAGCTTCAGAAGCACATGTGTGCTGCTGGGGGTACAAGAGCCATGTAACAGTGGTATGTGACCAGGCTGGAACAGTGGCAGAACTGGAAGCTGCCATTGGCATTGGTGGTTTCCACTTTTACTGGATATAATAATGGTATCCATTAACATGCTTGGTGTTAGTGGTAGCAGCTGGCAAAGGAAAGCCCTGAGACCTTCTAGTCTTGTCTTGTTGAGTAATTGTAGTAGCATTGCTAAGGCTAGCAGTGGTATAGTTACTGAGAATATGTTTAGGCTTACAAATATTATGTTACTGCCTTAGGATACAAAGAATCTTTTATTAACTATATGGTAAGCTACTGGGTAAAAAGTGGAAGCGAAAAAGTTAAATAAAGCTTGTCTTGAACTGAGGCACCCTTTCAGAAAGCTTTAATTAAAGGACTTCAAGTTTAATTCTGATTTTTGCCATTCTTTTTTCAAACTTGCTGTTTACGCGTTCCTTTTTTCATATTTCTGTTTTTTCAGTCATTGGATTCAAGCCTGTGATCCACATGACAGTACTCAAGTTATTCAAGAAAGCTTCTTACCCTGCCTTTTAGTTCAGCACCACCAGCTAAAGGATGTACCAGTGAGGATACTGTTGGCTGTCCTGCCAGAAACAATATTAGTTCCTGCCAACACACTTTTATGTGGTATGTTCAGGTGGCTGACCCACCAAAGGAAATAATTTTGTTTAACAAAGGTGGAGAGGCTTTCCCTTTGTGTAATATCAGATACAGAGAAAGAAATACGAGTTGAATGTTATCTACATGTGAAAAAAGGGTGAATAAAGGAGGGAAAGAGAATGGGAGAGTATAGAGAAAACATAGTTTAACTAATAGCCTGAGAAAGAGCTTGTTTGCCCAATGCATGTCTAAAACACTTGGAAGGTGGCTTAGGGTGTCAAGCTCATGTCAACAGCTGGCATATTCCCAGCTCTGTATCAATAGCTGAATAAATGAGAAGGGGAACTGTTCTGCAGCCTAAAACGAGGTTATTCCAAACCCATAATGTTTGTAATATGCTTTGTATTCATTTTATTTATTCTTAAATTTCATCAATACACATTGGGGTGGAAAAGTGCATCTCTCAAAATTCTAGTTCTTTCAGTCTTCAGGTGGAAATTCACTTTATCTTTCTATAAAAAACTCTACTAACATAGCTGCCAAGTTAATTGTTAGCTGGAGCAGGGGAAATGCTTCACTTCAGCCATATTACAGGTTTTTCTGGGGGTTTTGGCAACTCTATTTCTTCTGGTCTTACCAGTTCAGGCTTCTTGGAGACATGGAATTTTTGTAGCTCCTCTGGGTTTGAATGGAAGGGCTGCTCTTAATTCTTCACAGAATCACAGAATTTCTAGGTTGGAAGAGACCTCAAGATCATCGAGTCCAACCTCTAACCTAACACTAACAGTCCCCACTAAACCATATCCCTAAGCTCTACATCTAAATGTCTTTTGAAGACTTCCAGGGATGATGACTCCACCACCTCCCTGGGCAGCCTGTTCTTGTAGTGGGTCACAACAATTTACAGGTAAGGTGATAATAAAAGGTATAGCACTTTTCAGCAAAGGCTGTCAAGCCTAGCAGGAACAGTGAGATACCTGTTCCTCGGCAAAAAGGTGGTACTACTATACTAAGATTAATTATGCAGAATCTGTATCCTTTGCTTACTGTGTGGAGCTGCCAACCTGTCTGCATTCCATAGGAAGTGAGGTTGGCTTTGCCTTCTCTTTACAGTGTCTCAAGCAAGTGCTGCAGAAAGGTGATTTTTTGCTCAGCTATCATCCATTCTCCATTAATACTTATTATTGAGACTTTGCCTCCTTGGCTTCTATGATTGCTTCCAGTGTGTCACCGTAAAACTGTGGAAAAGACTGAGTCCAGCTTCAAACCCTGGTCCTCATGCAAGCATCTTACAAACACTTCAGATGTTTGCATTCTATTTCTTCACCCTGATGTTCTGTCCACATACATTACTGGCACCTGTTACTACCCAGAATTACAATGAACAATGGTGGGTCTGCCTCATTTCCATCTTAGGCATGCGTGGGAGCCACAGGTATAGTCTGGAGATTCTTACTCTGGTCATCATTATAGTGCAGTACTTTGACCCAAGTTGCTTTTGTGGTTGAGGGAGTGATCCTATCACATTTGTACCGTGAGTGAATCTTGTTACACCTTTTCTTCTAGTGCCTTTGGAATGTCATGCTGAAGTTCTGTATTTTCTCCCACAGCTGTATCTTAGCCACTATAGACAGTGTATGTTCATTCAGAGAGCATACATCCTGTGACAGAGATCACATGCCCTGATACTGGAATTCCATCTCCACATCCCAATAGATTTTTTCCCCACCATTATACTGAAGCTTTGCTTCTGATTGACAAGAGAAGTCTGAGTTAACTCAGACATTCATGAAGATTGGCTAGAGGTTGGACCTTTTACAAGGCCTTTTTTCAAGGAAAGGAGGGTCTTCAATCATTTTCATCGGAATTCTCAGCAGACAAAGGCATGGAAGCCCATCTTGCAGCTCCTCTAGGCAGTTTAGCAGCATTGCCCATGTTCAAAGAGGTTGTGCTGTATTCTAAGTTTTGCTGGTAGCTCAGTAGGCATAAATTTCATACAGGACCTTATAAAAACAGGCAGGTGAAAAGGTAAGTTCTGAAAGACTGACAATAGATGCATGTATAGAAAGTGATTAACTTTTTAAAGTATGATTCTCCATTGTTACCCTGTCTTGTAATAACTTTTTTTGCACCACAGATTTTTTTTTTGTCAGCGAAATCATCCATGCTTCACGGCTTCTTAGTTTTTGTGTAATTCCTTATTTTACCATTGCAGAATACAAGGCAGCAGATTTATCTTAACATGCTCTGATGATATGTAGTCTCTTTTTGGAGTAGTAACAGTAACTTTAAGATCAAGTGACCTATATAATAAGGTCAGAATGTTCCCTGCATCTATATATTTATTCTGTTCACTGGATTTCACTTGCATTATAGTTCCATTTGCTTCATTTTCTTTAGTTTCCTCTAAAACTAAACAATTACCTGGTTTTAGGCAAGACCAGAATTAAACAAATCTATGCAGTTAAGTAGCATTTACATTTTTTTTGTCAATTTACTACTTTTTTTTTTTTTTTTTTTCCCAGAAAACTGGCATATGTATTAAGTAACAGAGGTCTCATTATAGAGGTAGCCTGCCAATCTCTGCTCTCATCTGAAAGCTGATTACCCCCACCCACTAGTCACAGAATACTGATTATTAAAGACAAATCTTACTTGTTTACAAAGAAATTTCAGAATTTTGAGGTAAAGAGCTCTTAGTCTGATTTGTGTTTTGTCTGACAGAAACAAATTTCTCCTGTGTATTCAGAGACTGGAGTAATTTCTCCTTTTCAGTTCATGGGAATTTAAAAGGAAAAAAGTTATAGACAACACAGTAAATGAAAGGGCAGCGAAGGGAAAGGAATGTTTATCAGCAACCCTATGCTACTAGTTCTGTAAAAATGAAACACTACTGGAAAGCTCTGCAAACATTGGTCACGTAAACAGAATTTTATACATAGTGACTGGATGTCCTTGGCAAGATTTATGTCATCTGCCTGTCCCTGAGAGACTCAACTGGGAATTAAACAGCAGTGGACCAGCTGGCAAGGAAAGTAGGCTCAGTTCAGGGAATGTGGTGGGTATCAGGGAACTATCTGATCTGTGAATGAATCTCACAGGCTAGGGGAGGTGGTTGTTCAGTGTCTTGTCTTGGGTCTGTGCTTTGTTCTGGCTTCTGTTTATAACTGCCTTGCTTAAGAGATGTCGAGCCCATCCCTTTCCAACACCATGCCTTCATCCTTGTCTCTATCTCATTGCATGGATTCCCTTTTCCTTTATAAAGGTTCCACTATTGGCATCTCTGGTGCTTGGCTGTGACTTGTTTGACTGTAATACCTGTTTCAATGATGTAGTTCTACTTCAGCTCCTTGGATTTTTTTTTTTTTTTTTTTTTTTTTTTTTTTTTTTTTTTTCTAGCTTGGTCCTAAGCACAGTGTTCCACTTCAAAGATCTGCCAATACAGCTGATGAGAAAAATGCAGACCTGAAAGTTGTGCTGATTTTGCAGGATTTCGAGGTTCTGGAAGATGCCCCATTTTGACATAATTTCCAGATGTGATTAAGGTCTTGGCCAAACTAAAGGACAGAGTTCTGTGCTGCAAGTTCTCTTTAGAAGTGATGTTGTTTGAGAGGTAGTGTGTCCACTTCTGTGTAGTGATGCATGATGATGCATTTGTGGTGGTGGTTACAAGTAAAATGAAAAAAATAAAAGTACTATACTCAATTGAGATGATACTTTCAGTGCATCTTTAGGGGTGATGTTGCAGAACAGGCAATAAAAGAGAGACCAAACTTGCTGTTTTACTGTCCCAGTGAACTGGCAGCCTGCGTTCTGGATTCTGTGTAAATATTTAACATACTGTGTGAGATCTCTGAGGAAAGTAGCCAACTGTTGAAATCTCACATACCTAAAAGCTCCTGTTCCAGTAAATTTTCCTGTTTGCACATCCTGGTTCAGAACTGGAGCCTCTGCTTGGAAATACTCTGGGAGGTAAACAACTGTGCTTAGGAAAATTTGATGACTACTTCCTGCTGGCAAAACCTAGCTCTTTGAAGCAGTGCTAGCTTTTGAAAGGAAATACCTTCTCCTATTTCTTAGGCTTCATTCCCTGGGCTTTGGAATTCTCTTAGAACTTCAGAGTCCGTGAGAGTTCTGGCAACTTTATTGTTTTGTAATTTTGAAATGTTTTCCATACATTATTCTGCTTGAGTGCCTTCACCTAATTCTATATATTTTTTATTTATTTATTTATTTATTTTGTACACAGAAGCCTGTATCAAGCTGTCAGAAGAGAGCCACCATGAAAAGGGGCAGAGAAAAATTATCAGGAAACAACAAGTTAGGAATGAGTTCAGTCTCAGCAAGTTCAGCATGACCCAAAATGTGAGGAGCGTTACCAGAATTGTATGCCTCCTACCTCATACCTTTTTACTTTGTTGAATGCTCTGGTGCTCACAGAGGGGCAAGTCTATTATCATTCCTTTCTGGTAACTTCATTTGCTCTGTTAGCACTTGATCTTAATGATGATTCTCAAGTAATTGATCTGAGACAGTTGAAGCTCTTTCTATGCTAATTAAATGGATTGTATACTAGTAATTGAATGTGGAAAATGAAGTGTTTTAGGGTGATTAATTAAAAGTTCCTGTCAGAGTTTGTAACTTAGGTGAGTCTTTAATAGATAAGTTGAAATAGAGTAAATAGTTGCTTAATTCACCTTTGCATGAATGAATCAATTTTTAATGTAGTAATTTTTTCTTTTTAGCCAGTCCCAATTTAATTGCCTTTTTTTTTTTTTTTTTTTTTTTTTTTTTTTTTAAGTCAGAAGTCTATTTGTTGGCTTTAAACTTAGTAGCGTGGGATTTGTCCATTGCAATTAGTATCAACAGCTGGCACATTATGCACACTAATTACAGGCTTTGAATTTATTTTGTATTGTTTATATATTGTTCACTTTAAATAGTGGTTTGCTTGAGGTAGGGGTTGCAAGAACAGCAATTTGTACCATACATTGACTCCAGAAACACTAGTCACGATGTTAAATTGAGAAGTGTCTATAGTCCTAAGGCTTCAAATAATTTTGGAGTTGTGAAGGCTTTTCATGGTTTTTAGTGTGCTTTGTACCAAGACTGTGAGTAGCTTTGCTTTTCCAAGTAATCAGATGAATAAAAACTTCTGATTATTGTAAAAAATCACTATTTATACAAAGCTCTATGGAAAACATCAGGTTTCACAAGACAGCTCAATGACACAAATTTAGCTACTGTATCAGGACCAAACTTGCTCAGGTGTGCAGTACTTGCCAAGACCAAGCTCTGCTTGAATAGACAGCAACAGCACAGGAAATACTCCATGTATCTAATTCTGCTTAAAACTTTGTTTATGACAATTGCAGTAGCAAGAACCAATTTTTCATTAGGAATTACTGGTACTAGAAAGTGAATTTACGCAGGTGGATGCAACTAAATTGCCCTTGTTTGCTTCTTCTTTTTTTTTTTTTTTTTCCTCAGGGCATGTTAAATTTAACCTTTAACTTTTTCTCTTTGCTGCTCATCAGTTAGTATTTAGATTGTATGTAAATGTTTTTCAGAAATATGTGATGTATGTTATTTATATTGAATGCTTTTTCAAAGAGAACGAACTGCTACATGCTATGGTAGGAATTATGCAGCTGCCACCTGGACCACGGTTCCAATTATGCTGTAGCTACCTGTTTCAGGAATTATGCCATCACCACCTCTGACTTCACTTGGTTCAACCCTAATTGAATGCCTCAAGTCGAATCAGCTCATTATTATAATAGTGATCATTTATTAATATAACACTTGACAGTTTGAGCTGGTTGCCTCCCAGGAGTGACCTATATTGTCCGATAGCCTTCTGATTTATAGTCCTCACTCCTCCACATCTCCTTTGCACGCTATCTGTGTTATCCAACTGCATTTCTGGGCCTCGGCCTTCACCTTCTGATAGGTCTCTTTCTGTCTCCAGGCCTTTATTTGTATTTATGACTTCTCTTTTTCTCTTATCTCAAAGTTAGGAAACTTTGTAGTTAGTCTTGTTCCTACTCCCTTGTATTCTAGTTTCAACTGGTTCTGAGTTACTGGTTTCTCCATTTAAAAACAAAAGGTTAAAAGTACATTCCTATAGCCTTAAGGCTCCCTCAACTTTAGTGTTGAGGTGCTAAGCTGTTACGTATTTCTTTTTCTACAGTCTCCTTTTGTTTTTATTAGCATACTGGCTACTTATATGGGTGTTGAATAACAATAGCCTCTAACATAAGTTGATTTTTGGTTACAACACACATTTCAGTACTGTATATTTACGATGATACCTGTAGAGATACCTGCAAAAGTAATAACCCATATGCTGTGGTCCACCTGCAATTTCATCTATTTTCCTCTAATTTCACAGTACTTTGGCTAAAGGTGTCCCCTTTTCTATGGTAGGTATATTTCCCACTTCAGCATGCTCCCAGAATTTAACCTGTATTTAAAACATAAATTTAAAACTCACCAGTCAGCACTTCTCATCCCCAGGGCCCTGAGTGAACTCACCTGATGCCAGCAAATAGACAGTTGGAGGTGAGAGGGTCTCATGGTGGTTGCCCAGGGTCCTACCTAGGTCACCAAAACTGATGAAGAAATTACACCACTGCTCCCATTAATACAGGATTTAATGCAGAATTACTTTACTGTCATCATTCTTTTGATCTGACCTTAGGGTCCCATGGCTTAAGAATCAGGTAATATTTTGAAAGATGTTTATTAGTCTCATACAATTCTACAGCTCGAGCTGGATGCCTCTCAGGGACCCCATTTCATATTGGCTTTGGTTTTATGTAGTTTTTATGAAGTAACCTCCCTATAGCGGCACTGTCAGTGCCCTGCTGTTCTCCAGTCAGTCATTATTGTCTGGGGTCTCCTTGCTTCTCAATTCATTCATCTGTGGTTTCCTTGGTGGCATCTTTGGCCTGAGGCCTTTTCAAGTTTATGCATATTTCCCTTATCTGCTGGTCAAAGCTAGTTCTTCTGATCTTAGCTATGCAGTTTCACACCAATGTTACAAGGGTAGTTTCTCATGGCCTAAGGCTTGATTAACTTTAGTGCTAAGCAGCTAATGCTAAGCAGTCTGCTTTCTACAGTGATGCCATGATGAACACATAAAATTAACAATAATCTAGGATTCAGTGAAGTTGTAACTGGAACTGAGTAGAGCTGATGCATAGCAATTGGGGAGGGCAGGTTTAAGAATACAGAGAAAGACATTTGTGTGGATGTATTTGAAGGTACTTCTTGCAGAATGAAGGGATATTGCTTCTAAAGATAATTTTGGAAAACTTGGCTCCAGATGTTCTTATTGATTCTGTCTGTCCTTGTGAAGATTTTACATGAGCAAATAGCATACAGTAACAATTATAGTTTATTTCTTAGTACTCATTTTTCTTTCTTTGCTTAGATAATCTCTTGTGCCTGCCCTGAAGGAATCAGTATATCATGCGTATCTGTACTGCATTGCAACTCTCATATAAACTTGTGCTGTATATTGTACAATAGTTTGCAAAAAGAAAAGGCTGCAGTTAACTAAATAAGGATATTTTTAATATGGTTTAACATATTTCAGTTTTGCTGGTCTGATTCATCATTATCTTTTCCCTTTGGTAGACAACTGTACTTCTACAGAAAGAGTGAAGGGTTCCTAAACCAGAATGTTTGCACTTCATACAGATTTAAATAAATACACATTGTTCAAGACATTGGAAACCTTAATTTTTCAAATATTAGCAGGGAATTTTGTTAACTTTTTATTTATTTTTTAATCATTGAAGCTGTTGTGGCTAGTCTGTTGATTAATTTGGATTGCGTCAATGCTGGTTAACTTAGAAAATTGTGTTTCCCATTTTTAACTTTAAATAGAAAGAGAAAGTCACGGATAGATGATATTTTTTCTTAACATAAACTGCCACAGTGTTTTCTGTTTTTTCTTTGTTGTTTTTTTTTTTTTTTTTTTTTTTTAATTGAGCTGACAAGTGACAATAGTTTGTTAATTTATATTAGAGTAATTGATGATAATGATGAAAATATATCTTTGATAAATATTAAAAGCATTTTGCCCATTTCAGTTGGCCTTTTGTTCATAACTGCAATAGTAAAATTTGAGTGCATGAAAATGAAGGGTATGAGAGGCATCTTTAATTCAGACTAATGTTTCTGGAGATATTTTGGCACATTTCATACATACCTGGTGAGTTTTGCCAGTGGACAAAGGAACTTCTCTAGCTCTTCGAGTGTAGGAGGTCACCTACTGGTTGCTCAGCTTTAGTGCATCTCAGCATCTCTTCCTGAAATGCAGCAGCAGATGTGACTTAAGGGGTGTTGGAGATACATTTCCATGTACCAAAAGATGGTAACTGTTGATGCTGCTTCAGTAATGGAAACTCATCAGGCGCTCAGGCATATTTGAGTAAAGCTTTCAGTCAAACCTGAGCCTTTGTGCTGTGCAATCATGTCTCCAGAGATGTAGGATAACAATTTTACCTGGTGATTAAAGTGGGCAGGCATGTTATATGAATTTACACAGAAAATGATATATCTCCTGTTTACATGCTTATTAGGAGGTACAGCAATTTCATTTGCTTATGAAATATGCTGTTGTCCTGGTCTCTGCAGAGGGTGGTGTTAAAACATGTAGGGAACATGGACAGTAGAAAGTCTGAGTTATCAGTTACTGAAATCATCTGGAAAGGCACATGTGGTGGTATGAATGAGATAAGCAGCTCTCTTTTTATCCTTTATATGGCTGCTTGTTCTGCTGTGAGGACTTCTCAGGTACAGTTTACTATGAAAACACAGTTCTCAAGTTTGATTTAAGAAGTACTCTAATGGAAAACTTACCTTCTCACTCAGTTAAGAGTCAAGTAAGTTCCTTTGGTCATCAGAACCTCTATCCAGTTGTACAGAACTCTGCTGCTGGTGTTAGATTGCTTGTGATACCCATTTAAAGCCAAGGTAGATGTCACCGCACTGCACAGTGCAATTAAAGTATGTCCTGAATCCCTCAATGATGTTCTTTAATCTACACAAGGGGACCTCTGAAACACGACTTGCTTCTTAAACTTGAGTGTAGCATAACAGCCCAGAATTCCAAAGTGAATACTAATAAATATCTGTAATGTAGAAAGAAGATGCTGAGTCAATGTAATTTACGGTTATACTATGGGACCCTTTTTTTCCTTCGCTTCAGTTTAATGATTTGATCAAAGGAAATGGCAGGCAGTTGTTCCTCTAGGAAGGACAGCAGATAGAAACGGAGATGCAAATCAACTTCAAAGGAAAATTGCTAGTCTCAGTTAAAATGGGCATTTATAGCACTCATAAACCATTATTAAGAATACTTACCAACAAATCCACTGGTACTATCCAGATTTTGTTATTTTGGCAGTGTTTAAAATGTAATGTTTAATCATAATTCTTTCATTTTAATCCAGTTGAATTGGCATGCTTCTTTTTGATCAGTCAGTGATATTTTTCTCAGTTTCTGTTGTATCTGACCTGGACTTTGAAAGAAAAGGCAGTGTCTTAGGCATGGATGAACAAGTGAATGGCTGTGATTAAGCTGCTGTGTGAATTTATAACCTAGAAGCAATTTGAGCTAACTGTATGCACGTTTACATCCTCTAGTTAATGTGAAGTAATCTCATGCCCACAGTTATTTCATGGTAACTTGTTTTTGTGCTCACATTCTCAATCCTTCTCCAAATGCTTTGGAGCGATAATTTATGAATTAGCCCAACTGT